GATTTCCTTCTGAAACTTAGCTGGTACTGTACCTCCGAGAAAGTCCTCAGAGTGCTTTCACATATAGGCTTTAGGCATTAGCGTTTCTAGTTAACATTTTATTCCTAATAGCCTTTATTTGTAAGAAGTAGATTCATATAATACATATAGTTGTAATGTTGGATCATAAAGCTAAATCATTTCTGGATCCTAGCAGCAACACATGATAGAATTCCTTACAATAGAACAAACATTTACTAAAGTCTTGCAGCATATAAGGCACTGTTTTGAGAGCATAGGTGACACAAGGATGTATAAAACATGGTCCCTTATAATCCCAGTGGGAGAAGTGAGCATTTGCTCAGCCACTTCTAACAGAAGGCGAGTGGGAGTGCTGTATATATGTGCAGTGATCTTAATTACTGTCTGTGGTTCCTGTTCCTGCTACAGTGACTCAGGGGAGTCATCAAAGGTACAGATTTGACTTTCTGAAGTTAGTCCTGTATGCAGAAAATGAAGTTGTTTGAATTTCTTCCTGTTTTGGCTTTGAGCTACTCCTTTGACTTACCACCAAATTTTCATTATTTCTTATTTAAAATATCCCAATCATTTAAATGGATAGCAGTTAACTCCCAGACGCTCCTACATGAAGATTCAAGAATTAAAGACAATGGTTGGGGGTTGGTGAAGGGGCAGTGATAGAGATGGGTTGATGCAGGATTAGATGTTTCCCTTCAGAACATTCTTGGATGCTGTATCAAACAATCTAAGCCATTATCAGAGGATGTGATATCTGGCCATGCGTTTTAACTTTCATATGATGTTCCAGTTAATGAATTTGTAATACGATATTACATAATATAGTATCGATTCAGTTTGGTTCAATCCAATGCAGATGCATTTTTCTAGCCTTAGGAGTTCTGCTTGCTTGACTCTCTTAGGACAAAGAATGTGGCTTATGCCAAAACTGAGTAATGAATAATGGCTTCATTGTGGTTTTTCCTCATTTGCCATTTTAAAAAGCCAGTCGCTTAAGTCTCATTGACTGATTATTAACCAGTCTAAGTATTTTAAATATTTGGAAGTAATTAGTCTGCTGTGTGAATGGCTTGAGTAGTCATTAAAGTGGAATGTCAACTTTATTTATTGGAAACATTTCTATTTTTGTTGAGCCCTCCTTTCTTTATAAGTGAAACATTATAGTTCTCGTGGCCTTTGTTAGTTGGCTCTTCCATTTGGTCCCACACAAAAGTGGGTTTTTATCTAAGCCATAGGCATGAGCTTGAGAGTGGTGCTCTTAAAGAAAGGGCTTGTTAGATCTGGTTAGATCTGAGGCCATGGTCAGATGAGTTCCATGTGTGCCCCTCTCCCCCTGCCAAAGACCCAGAACTTTTTTCTGAGGTCACAGACTGCAAACCCTCAACCTGGCCCATCATGATCCCAGTGTGTTAGGTATTTCAAGGGGATCAGACAAATCTGTTGATCCCTTTACTAGTCTTGAAAACATGAGAACACTTGGTGCTGGTGTCCAGTTAGCACCCAGCCCTTCACAAGGGCAGAGCATGAACACAAACATTCTCCTTTCTCCTTATGCTGTGGTGGAAATAGCCATAGACAAGTCAGACGACCAGAGTTGAAGTCCTGGAATTTGGGAATTTAAAAAAAAGGTATAATTTTACTACCTTAACAGTCTGGTGACTCGAAGAGTTTTATTTAACTTCTCTGGATCTGTTTAGTAGTTTTTTAAACAGCTTTCTTGAGGTATAATTCACATGACATACAGTTCACCCATTTAAAGTGTTCAGTTCAGTGGCTTTTCACAGAGCTGTATTTTCACAGAGTTGTATATTCACAGAGTTACCCATCTATCACCACAGTCAATTTCAGAACATTTTCATTACCCTCAAAAGAAACTCCATACCTAGCTATTACTGCCCAGTCCTCCCATTCCCTCTGGCCCTAAGCAACCCCAGATCTATTTATGTCACTATAGATTTGCCTATTCTGGACATTTCATAGAAATGGACTCATACGATATGTACTCTGTGACTGGCTGCTTTCACTTAGCATAATGTTTTCAAGCGTTGTCAATGTTTAGCATGCATCAGCACTTCTTTCCTTTTTATTGCCAAATAATATTCCATTGCATGGATCTGCCACATTTAATTTACCCACTCATCAGTTGATGGACATTTAGACTGTTTCCATCTTCTGTCTATTATGAATAACGCTGCTGTGAGGGTTCGTGTACAGGTTTTTGTGTGGACATGTGTTTTCATTTCTCTTGGGCATATATACCTAGGAGTGAAATTGCAGGGTCCCATGGTAATTCTGTGCTTACCTGTTTGAGGAATTGCCAGACTTGTTATCCAAAGATTCCACAGGATTTTATACTCTTAATTTTACAGTGTATTAGGATTTCAGTTTCTCTATATCCTTAGCGGTCACCTGGCTCTAAACCACGTGCTGTTGCATTCCTCTCTGGCTATCTCCAGGGGATGTGGGTGGCAGCTACTATGCGGCCAGCTGACAGATCTGACCTGAGAAGGTCCGAGGGCTTTTAGAATCCCAGGCAGTCATCTCCCAGCTAAACAGCTGGCTGTCTGGTCTGAATTTATCTGTTCTTGCCAGCTTTAGTTTGGGATGGTAATCTTGTGTAGGGTTGCAGTGTGGGGATGGGGGCTTGGCAGGGCAAAGGAGTGTTTTAGTAGCCTACCCTTTAAATCTTCTACCTAGAAGAGAATTCATAGTACAGAAAGAAGAAACACTTTGCTGGGCTATACTTTCTCATGTATGTTCTCTTTTAAGTCCATTCCTCCTGCCCCACAGGGTTTGTAATAGTGGTAGAGAAGAGTGTGTGTTTCTTTTTTTAATTAGACAGAGGCAGTGGAGGCCCAGAGAGGTTACTTACCTAAAGTTATATATTATACTTGTTAGTATTTGGAAGGGGACTAGCAAAGGAGGAGATGGGATGGGTACTTAGAATAGACCCTGACTTCCAAGTTATGATCCTTTCCATTGTTTCATAGCTGTTTGAGTATACAGCTTGTGCATAAGAGTTCTTAGGCAGCTCTTCTGAACCTAGAAATGAAATTCTAATAAAGAACCACCCCAGCGGCTGAGATCCAGTGCTATGATTCTGTGACTGGTGCTCATAGTTATGACCAAAGTTAAAATGACACAGTGCATTGATAACTAACTGCTACTAACTTATTCTGCCATTCTCACCTTCCAAGATGGACCCTTGCACTCCCCTCAGAACTTGCTCTACCCTGGGTCCTTTCTATTAATAAAGAACAGAAGTATATGGTTAGAATTTAGAAGTCTATATAATAAAAGTGTGGTTTTTTTTTAATGTGTGTTTTTAAAGTAGATAATTTGAATACTTTCAGTCACCTTTTAATTGGCTTAACTCCATGTTTTTAGGTCTCCTCTCTTCTCTTTGCCCATTTTGAACTCAGAGGAACTTGAAAGACATTGTGCACTAGTTACATATACCTGGGTTTAAATCCAGGCTTTGGTATTTACTGCCTGTGTGACCTTGAGTTGTTTGCTTAACCTCTCTGTGTCAGAAATTGTTACATGGAAAAATAATGGTGCATATCTTCCTAGGATTGCAACGGTGATTAAATAAGTTAATACACATAAAGTGCTTAGAAGAGCACCTGGCATGCGGAATGTACTCAGTACATGTTAGCTGTTTATTGTTTTTTAAAAACACTCATAATAACAGAAACCTTATCATGACCACTGCTGCTACCATCCTTGCTACAACTCCAGCTCTTCTGGTCAAAATTGAACAACCTATGATTCAGGTTATCTATTTATTAAAAAAAATTTTGTGGGAGCGCACTGTACGGCATGTGGGATCTTAGCTCCCCGACCAGGGATCGAACCTGGGCCCTTGGCAGTGAGAGCGCAGAGTCCTAACCCCTGGACCACCAGGGAATTCCCTGATTCAGGCTATTTAAAAAAGAACTGAGGGAATTGCCTGGTGGTCCAGGGGTTAGGACTCCACGCTTTCACTGCCTCGGGCATGGGTTCAATCCCTGGTCAGGGAACTAAGATCCCACAGGACGCGCAGCATGCCGAAAATAAGTAAGTAAGTAAGTAAGTAAATAAATAAATAAATAAAATTTTTAAAAAATAAAAAAAGAATTGAAGGTGATTTGTCCATTACACATACCTTTCTCTCCTAGCAGTTGGGCTGTTAAGGGACAGCAGGAGAACGAGACCTGTTTACAAGGCATGTCGATCAACCTTCTTTTGATTCCTCTTGATTGTATTTCCTGAGCACCTAGGGGAGAGTTCCTCCTTGACTGGGTCTAGCCCAGGGCATCCCATGCTCACTCAGTGTTGGAAAACCAGCCACTTTCTAATCAATTGAACTAGATTTTGAGGTTAATTTTAGCCAGCCTGGGGACAACATATAAAAGGAAAAAAACCGGAAAACCCCCCTAGTTCACTTTCAGATTTTTCAAGATTGATTTCTGCGGAAAACCAGTAACACATGTGAGCATGGAGAGAATAATTTTCATTTCTTTAAGATTTAGATAGGAAACAACCAGGAACAGTTTGCCCCAAAAGGTATTTACTGTCCCAAGATTTAATGTAATTTGAATTTCTGTCTTAGATTTTTTTTTAAAAAAAAACTTCTGAGGGACTTCCTTGGTGGTGCAGTGTATAAGACTCTGCGCTCCCAATGCAGGGGGCCCAGGGTTTGATCCCTGGTCAGGGGACTAGATCCCACATGCTGCAACTAAGAGTTCGCATGCCGCAACTAAGGAGCCTGCCTGCCGCAACTAAGACCTGGCACAACCAAATAAATAAGTAAATAAATAAATAAAACTTCTGGGACGCCCTTGGCTTCCAGCAACTATAGCTGGAATCCCTCACAGTACCTGGTGTGGTTCCAAACATGCAGTTAATATGGGACTAAGTGAATGTGTAGTTAATTAAGTAAACACAGCTTCCTCCTGGGTTGTCTTTAACGCCTTGCTCCTCCCTGTCTTAATCTCCAGGTATCTCAGATGAAGACATTATCAACATTACTCTTCCTACTGGAGTCCCCATTCTCCTGGAACTGGATGAGAACCTGCATGCCGTTGGACCTCACCAGTTCCTGGGCAACCAAGAGGCTATCCAAGCAGCCATTAAGAAAGTAGAGGATCAAGGAAAAGTGAAACGCGCTGACAAATAAAATCTTTCCCACGTGCTAGCTAGGGATAGCTGCAGAAGGAGTGGTATGCGGTGTGTTATGGGTGCTGATCTCGCTTTTTTTTTTTTTCTCCCCCGCTGATTTTTCCTGATTTTTCCAGATCTAGGCTGTGGGGTAGAGTTTGTATAAGTAACTAGGTAACATATGTTGGCCCAGATAAAGGCTTTAGGATGCCTGAGTGCTAATGTCATAAGCCTTATGCGTTAGCGCCTGCCGGCCCCGTTTGAATTAGTCACTAAGTTAGTCACCAGTGGGGCTTAATCAATGTCATAAGTTTCCAAGATGGGGGAGCAACAAGTGGAGGTCAAGTTCAAGGTATTCCTCATTCAATAAATCAGTATAGAGTGACCACTGACAGGCACTACTTACTCCAATAAATAGTTCACAGTTATATTTACTGAGACTTTCTAGGATGATAATAAAGGGCATTAGATAACACACTATACTTAAGTATTTATTACTAGTCTTTTCCTCTAGGGAGAGGGATGCTTTGATAGGTTAAGACCAGAGGCCCATTAAATGGGAGAGTCATGGATGGATTCCTCCAAGACAGCCAACAACAAACACCAAGGCCCTTTGCCTCATAACATTTGGTGGAATTCCTCTCTGGCTGCTAGAATTAGCAGCATATAGACAGCTATAGCTGTTCATGTTCTCTTTTTGTTTTATTTTTGTTTTTTAAACTTTAATTTTGGGGTCTTTAAAATTAATTTAAAAATAAGTTCTGTGACTGAAAATGGTACCATCCCAAGAATTTCCATATGATTCATAAATATTAAGTATAGGCTGCTGAATTATTCTCTGCTCTTATCTTCCTATAACACAAAGAGTTGTACTTATTTCAACACATAGACATGCCTAATTCTCTAAAAATTGAAGGTCAGGTCGGGGGAAGGTAGAATATAGTGGGTGTAATTTTATTCACTTGAACGGGGAAATGGTATATTCGCACTTGTCATGTACATTTGTTCTTTATCTGCTGAGGGCAAAACATTATGGTACGTAGTCTATAGTATTCAGGGTAGGCCACAGACAGAATTGACTGCTTATCAATCTTAATGATATAGGATGTTTTTAGATGCTGGAGATAGGTAAGTGATCATTTCTTTAAGCTACTGCCTTATTTCAGAGCAAGTGACATATATTTCAGTGATAAAGTCATGTAAACAATTTACAACTATAAAAGCTGTTACAGATATCACCAGTTTTTCATGGTTTTCCATTGGTGGATTAGTTTATTTGTATCCATTTTATAGTAAAACTGTCATTAGAAGGAAACTAATTCTAAAACCCTTGCTACTGCTTGCTTGGTTTCTACTGATCCTTAAATCAAGACTTAGGGCATCAGCTGAAAAGAAGAAATGAACCTGGTTTGCTCACAGCTGGCTGCATCTGTGATGCATAAGGACATGGAACGTGGATGCTTGACGTTCCTGACCAACTACTGGCTTTTCTGCCGTAGTCCTTCTTTTCACAGTTCTGTTGCCTAACCAAATAACACTGTTTATAATTCAGAGATCAGGGCCAAGAATACAACTACCAGATCTTCCTAGAATTCCAAACCTATGGCTAAGCTTCAACTCAGACCATTTTTGAACAGCTTCATCTCTGGAATTGGCATCTGAATTTTCCAGCCCAAGAAGTGACCATGTCTTAACACAGCTTAAGAGCCTAGAGTTGGATTCTTCCCTTGTCCTGCATCTAGATATCCACCTCCCGTGGACACCTGGCAGCATGATGTGCTCCTGCACACAGAGCTGTGCTCACACCCCATCACTGTGGAATCTTACAGACTTCCTAAGAGAGGGATAATTTTTGCTGACACTTTCTGGTACAATTTGGTTTTTGAGATCTTGGCTGAAATAAATGAAGAGATATTTATGAAAATTTGCTGTAAAATTATTTTTAACGACTCCAGCACTTCAACCTTGAGACCACCTAGTGAATCTGTTTTCTTTGCATGGCTTACAAGGGATCCAGAATTTTTTTTTTTTTTGGGGGGTACACGGGCCTCTCACTGTTGTGGCCTCTCCCGTTGCGGAGCACAGGCTCTGGATGCGCAGGCTCAGTGGCCATGGCTCATGGGCCCTGCTGCTCCGCGGCATGTGGGATCTTCCCGGACTGGGACACGAACCCACGTCCCCCGCATCGGCAGCATCGGCAGGCGGACTCTCAACCACTGCGCCACCAGGGAAGCCCGGATCCAGAATTTTTGATGTAGGTATCTTGAAATCTGCCTAACCTGCATCCTCATCTTGGCATCCTTCTGTACCACGTCAAGCTGGGACCAAAAAATGGGGATTTTTTTAAATTTAAAAAATGATAGCTTATCCAGAAATTTGGTCCTTGGAGAGGGCAGCCCATCCTGCCGCCAGGTTGGGCTTGCCCTGGAGCCAGTTAGACACGTCTCTTTTGCCCAGGCTGTAATGATTGTTTCATGCAGGTCCCGTGTGGTAAGATAAGAGCCATAGCAAGATGCTACTCCTAGAGTTTTAATTTTTAAATATCTCAGATGAGTAGTGTATCCCAGTACACTCAGACTTTGTTTTTCTGAAAGAACAGAAATTCTGCCTCAGAAAATGGAAGTTCTTGCATCATTCAGTACTAATTTGAGCACTGAATTAACAAAGCATCCTCGGTTAGAGTACATAATGTCGTGTATGTTTCCTTGATAAGATGTATGAGGCAAATTTCTTAACATGATCTGGCTATTTCCAAGCTCAACCAGATTGTTTTGCTCCAGATTTGCAGACTATTTCTCATCTTGGGTCATGACCACTTTTATTAAAATGCAGTCCCTCCATGTGCACATTAATGGCAGTGGTTATTTGTCTTCTGGCCTGGGAAGCCTCCCCAGGCTCTATAGTTTTGTTGTGAAAATGCTTTTTTTTGGTCAGTGTGTGAGCTGGTTAACCCAACTGCCCCATCGGACAGCAGTTGGGCAACTTGGTGGCCAGAAGCAGAAGTCCTCCTGATCATGATGACAGTCTCAGGAAAGAGAAGCCAGAGGTCATGTACATTTCCCCCCATTCCTACTATGTAGTTATAGTTTTTTATTTTTCTAGCTCCTTTGTGTTTATGACAGAATGAGGTAGGGGAACCAGCTTTACTAGACAGAAGATTCATCATCCCCAGCGTCATTTTTAATTTATTTTTATGCTTTTACATAAAGTGGCAAGCCTCTTTTCAAAGTTCAGTTTTCCTCTTACCTGGAAAGTCTTTCATATGTTCAAATTGCCTCAACATTGTAGACCCTGATCGTTTCTCCTGTTTTTGTCTTCTGCATGGTTGGATTTTGCAAGTTTGGGGCTCACTTATGTAACACTGTTCGTTGTATTAAATCATGCCTGGCCTCTCAAAAGATCTGGCTGTGACAGATGCCATGTTATGCTGTAGCCTGATGGTTTCCACATTGGTCTGTGAGGGGACTTTGATCCCAAGGGGAATATGAAGCATCCGTTCTATAAGAGTATTTTAATCATACAATCTCCCTCTAGTGACAAAGCTATTTGGCAAAATGATAGGCAGAATTTAAGTCAATCTTTTTCCACAATTGGTGAAGTTTTATTTATTGGAGGATAATCTAGCTATATAGACTAACCTTTAAAACATGGAACTTAAGTCCAAAAAAAATGAAAGTTCCTTAGACAATTTTTTAAAGATAAGCTAGATTGTCATCAATACTTCCTATTTTCACATAATAGAGCCACATCTTATTTGCCATTTATTTGAGTTGGGGCTAGCCATTTAAGCTTATGCTTACCCTGATTTGACAGGAATATATATTTTGAAATCTTTTTATTATAAAAAAATTTAAACATCCCCAAAAGCTGAGAGTATAAATAACACAAAGAACACTCACCCATCAGCCACTATCACCTCATTAACCATTATGTGTATCTTCTCACACTGTCCACTGGATTGCTTTGAAACAAATGCCAAACGTCAAACAGGATAAATTTTGAAAAGGAAAACACCTCAAAGAGTCTTCAACCAATTAAAGCAGAAGCCACAGTAATCTGTTCTAAATTTGTCCTCTTTGGTCCTCTCAAGAAACAACCATTGCTAAGTTGTCCAATTCGAGTCCTATATATAGGTGCATTATCTCTTGTTGCTATTTAAAGAGCTGTTAGTCTGTGCGACTTCTGCGGAATAATTTGGAATTATATGGTACTGCTGATGTTAAATTCAAGTGTTTAAAGATGAAAATGTTCCTGAGACTGTTTCTAGGATGTAATTCTGAATCTCATAGATTTAAAAAATTGAGCAAATTTGTCGATGTCATTGTAAATTAGGTTACTCACAATGGGAGAAGGGAGATAGAAAGTGGAGGAAGATAAAGATAGAAAGAGGAGGAAGATAAAGAAGACCCCCGTGTTACTAGTTTTGAGCTGGAGATACCTGTAGGAATGTGTGTGCATTTTCCCCTCTCTTTCTTCCCAACGCCACCCCACCTTTCCCCCACCCCCCAACCCCAGCTCTGGCTCTGTGCTCTGAAAGGGCCTAGAAGCCATAACCTAGTAATAGCACACGTAGTTCCCTTGATCTTGTTTTCTAAATACTGTTCCACAGACCCAGGCATGTTTGGGAAAATCGTTGATTCCAGGTTGGAGGCAGATAAAGTATAAGGTGAGTTTAGAACATCTTGAGTCAGAAAAGAAAAAAGTGCCCAAAGACTGGTGGGACACAAAAATTGGCCTCAAATGCCAAATCTGGGACCATTTGAGATGAAAGAAAAGAATACCAAGAATGGATTATAGAACATTTGTCTCAGTCTGTTCAGGCTGTTGTGACAAAACACCACAGACTGGGTGGCTTAAATAACAAACATTTCTCACAGTTCTGGAGGCTGGGAAGTCCAAGATCCAGGCACTGGCAGATTTAGTGTCTGATAAGAACCCTCTTTCTGGTGCTCAGAAAGACGCCTTCTCGCTGTGTCCTCACATGGTAGAGAGGGAGGGGGCTCTGGTCTCTTCCTCTTAGAAGGACACTGTTCTCATCATGAAGGATCCACCCTCACGACCTCATCTAAATCTGCTCACCTCCCAAAGGCCCCACCTCCAAATACCATCACACCGGGGATTAGGGTTTTAACATTTGAACCTTAATTCGATATTTTAATTAAAAGTTATAAAGGATATTTTGGGGGCCTGAAAAATTTAAGGGTGAGGTGTCATTATGTCTGCAACTCACATTAAAATGTTTGAGCCAACACAATTGCTCCTATATATTTAAAGAGACGCAGAAAGCAAATATAGTAAATGTTATAATTGATGAGGAAAGAGTTAATAATGTACTATTCTTCCAGCTTTTCTGTAGGTTTGACATTTTCCAAAATAAAATCCCCCCAAATAAATAAAGTGACAGGAGAAAAAAAAATTGGCAAAGAAGCAACTAAAACAACCTTGTATTAAGTACAGTCACTAAAACATGTTTCGCTATATGCAGTGACTGGATAAAGGTGCCTGGTTTCTATACTTTTTATTCTTGAAATCTCAGTTTTTGTTAGTAAAGAAAAAACTTCTTTGTATTGTCAAGAAACAAATTTTGTACACTTATTTTTTTCTACTAGGTCTAGTGCTACAGTTATGTATCAGACAATTAGCTTCTCTGCTAATACAAGTCAAAAATAGGATTATGATTGCCATCACCTTGTAGCTGAACAAATAGAATTTCTCCTGATACAAAACCTTCTACTTTAATCTTTTAGTACCTTAGGATGGCATCCCTTCTTAATGCCACCGTTTGGCTCCTAAACTCTACTTAATCTCTGGGCCTCCGTTTCCTTCGATTTTAGCTCCTTGCAGTGGCCACCTCCCGTGTCCCTTGTGTCACTCAGCTCAGTGTCATCGCCCAGCTTGAATCCATGTGACCTCAAAGCAGCCATGATTTCTACTGCTGCTCCATGCTTCCTTCTACTAAGACTGCTGAGGGTCAATAGCCTGTAATGAATGCTTCTCGTTGCCCAAAGCAGAAGTCAAATAGGTTCTGTTGGCACTAAAGATTGGCCTTTTATTTATGTTGTGGCTGACCACTTAAGCCTGAAGTCTATTCTTACTTTAAAAACAACGTTCACGAAAACAATCCTGTTTTCATGAAGGGAACTCTACCTTTTCAAGACGGCTTCATTTAATTCTCTGCAAAGCCAAGTTCTTAAAAACTTAAGCATAGACCAGAATGTGACATAAGCTTGTCTCCAAACAGCCAGTGCCTCATTTCCAGTTGCAAAAAACAGATACCATTTGACAGCAACTGCAGCTGAAGGAGCTATTTTTTTTCTTCTTTTTATAAATTTATTTATTTATTTTGGCTGTGTTGGGTCTTCGTTGCTGTGTGCAGGCTTTCTCTAGCTGCGGCGAGCGGGGGCTACACTTCGTTGTGGTATGCAGGCTTCTCATTGCGGTGGCTTTTCTTGTTGCAGAGCACGGTCTCTAGGCGTGCGGGCTTCAGTAGTTGTGGATTGCGGGCTCTAGAGCGCAGGCTCAGTAGTTGTGGCACACGGGCTTAGTTGCTCCGCAGCATGTGGTATCTTCTGGACAAGGGCTCAAACCCATGTCCCCTGCATTGGCAGATGGATTCTTAACCACTGCACCACCAGGGAAGTCCGGAAGGAGCTATTTTGCTGCAGAGAGTTTACTCAAGAATTTCTCATGAATTCACTCTAGCCACACAGATGCTGAAAAGGGCACATCCACCAACCACACTGTCCTGCATCCACTTGAGAGGAATCTTCATTTGATGTAATGCTGACCTAGGTGGGGATTAAGACACAGCTGGAGTTTGTATCAGTCAAATTAATTGCATAAAAATCTACTCTTTTAGTGAGAAGACTCTTTGGAGTAGTTAAACCTGGACGTTGGAGCAGAGAGGGCCAAGACCATCACATA